AAGGAAAAAAAAAAAAGAAAAAAGAAAAAAAAAAAAAAAAAAAAGAAAAAAAAGAAAAAAAAAAAAAAAAAAAAAAAAAAAAAAAAAAAAGTGCAATTTTTCATGAAAGATGACAAAATTAATTGGAAAGACATTGAAAAGGAATTGCTCGAATCATTGCAAACTTATTGTGCAAGATGATTGTAAGCATTTGACTCATATCTGAATCTGACTCAAAAAGATTTTTTCCTATCAGGATTTTCTGCGATAGGAAGATCTTCCACAAATTTAAAAAAAAAAAAAAAAAAAAAAAAAAAAAAAATCAATAAAATCTGAGGAATTTATTTCACTTTTCAAGAATATTTCCACAAACAAGGTCCAAGAAGTGAAATACTCAAGCTTGTTAACTATTGCAAGATCTCATTAAAAGACTCAATTATGGCCGCTTACAATACCAAGCAATGCTTGTGCAGGAAATGTTTGAAGTGGAGAACTCCACTATCTAAACAAAAACAAGCATGTACCCAAAAGAAAGAACCAATCAGCATCTCTGAATGCTATCAATCCACAGATGTTACAGAGTTTTCCTTCTCCTAATAACAAATGCTAAGGGTAGCAACACTCCCAATGGCCTTACCAAATGACTGAACACCAACTGAAGTATTTCTACATCCCTGGACGAGATGATTCTATGAAAAGATTCATCTGCCTTTTGATAGGTCATGTTTTTTAATCCTACTGAAAGCCTATACTATCAAACAAAATTTATTTAGCATTTTTACATGTCCCTTTGACAACAGTGGTTTGTTTCAGAATGAGAGAGGGTAGCTAGAAATAATACAACTCATTCTTTTTGGCATCCCTATAACTATACAATGGGAGGGTGGGTAGCAACTTCATACTGAAATATTAATAGAACACAACTAATCATTTAGAAATGCAACTTTTTTTTCAAACTGTACTAAATATGTAAACAAAAAAAAAAAAAAAAAAAAAAGAAAAAACTAAAATATACTAAAATATAGTAGAAAATCTAAAAAATACTCACCAGAAGATTTTGTTGGCTCATAATAATCTCCTGTTGAGATCTGCTTCCTTAGCACCTTGAAGTTACTACCATCAAAAGGCATTGCCCCATACACTAACGTATATAAAAGTACACCCAAGCTCCAACAGTCCACCTGAATAAAGAAAGCAACGAAGATGAGGATAACAGATGAAAGAAAAAGTTATGTAAAATTCAGAGAAAAATTTAAAAATGCATTAATTTTCCAAACTATATATATATATATATATATATATATATATATATATATATATATAATTCCCTCGAAAGAAAGGAAAGATTTTTCATGCTCAAATGTGTTTATATAATTTTTATGTTTAGAATAAGATTTATCAAAGGAGTAAGTATGGGGGGGCATGACACATGAATAATTCCTGAATTATAAATCTAACCTGTTTCAGAAAAGTATTTGAAAATTGAAATCACTTCATATAAAATTCCTTTGCCAAAGAACTGATGATTTCCAAGAGTGAAAACAGGTTATACAGCCATTACAATCCCAGAAAATGATGAAAATAGAAACAAAATTTTCTTGTAACAAGTTAATCTCGGATTCTTTCCATGTTGATCCATCCATTCTTCTCATGTCCATTGAGAATCAACAAAAATCAGAACAATTACTCTCCAGCAAGATCATCTACAGTTGCTGAAGTTTTGGTTTTTGTTTTCCAGATGTCATAACTGCATGCTATTGTTACAATAGAAAGTATTTTACATTTATTTTTTGACAATCTCGCTTTCTTCTATTCATTGTCTTTTCAGGATGTAGGCAATAATGGCTCTCCACAACTTCCTATCCTTTGTAGCTCTTAGTAAAATTAGTCCCTTCTAATCTCCATTCTGTTTTTTCCCCCTTTTAGACATGAAACTGATTTTTTTTTTTTAATCAGATATTAGGGAACTAGTAGGGTTATTCCATATTGAAAAGATGAATGCCTTTTTAGAGATTCTTAACCTTTACCTGATGGAAAGGTCACACACTTTTTTTTTTTTCTTAATGCACACTTGTAAATTTGCTAGCTAGGTCAAATAACATACCTCTGGTCCCCGATATGGGATCCCATTAATAATCTCTGGGGATGCATACAACGGACTGCCGCAGAACGTGGTGAGAGGTGATGCAGGTGTGTAAAAATTTGATAAACCAAAATCAGCAATCTGTAAAAACAGAACAAAATAGATTTAAAATTATATCCAAATACTAAAAAAATAAAAATATGCAATATGCATGTATGTATTATTCTGTATTATTATTAGTTAGTGTGTGTATGTATTATTATTATGTATTATGTGCATATGCATTACTATGATTATTATTATGTATTATGTGTGTATGTATTATGATTATTATGTATTATGTGTGTATTAATTATGATTATTATTATGTGTGTATTAATTATGATTATTATATTTTATGTGTGCATGTATTATGATTATGTGCATATGTATGCATTATTATGTATGTATGTATGCATTATTATGTATGTATGTATGTATGCATTATTATGTATGTATGTATGCATTATTATGTATGTATGTATGCATTATTATGTATGTATGTATGTATGCATTATTATGTATGTATGTATGTATGCATTATTATGTATGTATGTATGCATTATTATGTATGTATGTATGTATGCATTATGTATGTATTATTATGTATGTATTATTATTATTTGTATGTGTTATTATTATTGTGTGCATGTTATTTATGTGTGCATTATTATTATTATTTTTGTGTGTGTTGTGTGTTTATCTATTGTGTGTGTGTTCAATCTGGGCCACTATCCATTGCTCCACTGTGCCTCCTTTGTACACACAGTAAATTTTTTTTAAAAATGTTAGGATGAGGATAGTAATAAGGAGTGCCAGAGAAAAGCAATAGATAACAAAAAATGCAATATAAGCTCTGGTAAAAAAAAAAAATAACAAAAATGCAAATGAACCCCTGAAAAAAAAAAAAAAAAAAAGCACCCATAGCCACATTTTTTTCAATTGAAAACATAATAAAAATATTCTCCAAAATCTTATATTCAAACCTAACATATAGTCTAATGCATGTGCATCCAGCCTAACTATGATAGCATAATATTAAAATGTTAAGTCACCACATTATAACAGCCACAAACAACGATTTGGGGTTACAATGCAATCTCCATTAATCTTGTTTCAAGTTATGCCATTTGCTGCAAATGGAACAGTAGAAGAATACACAGTGCGGCAAAAGAATTGCCATATGGCACTAGACTGAGGGAGGTGGCATTGGTCAGTTCTATGTTATACACTATGCTGGATTGTTGGTGAGTGAGTGCTTATTCGCACAAAATCAGTTACATTCCAACTTGCACAGAAAATCTTATTACACCATTATCATAGGAACAGGAATGTTGTTGTAAGTCAAGGATCACTGTAATAAATTTAAATAGATGAGATCTTACAGGTTATCAAATAGGATAAATGTAAAAAACCATCACTGAATTCTCATCATTTTTTAAATCGGTATCACTCCATGCAAGGCAATTAAGCCACTAAGACACAAGGAGGTTACAGGGTGTGGAAGAATTAGGGACAGAAACATTAATGAGCAGGAAGAGGAAAGAATAATCAGAAGTAGATAGCAATTGACATTGCATTTAATTTTTTGCAGATTAAAGTTGGCTGGAAAGCATGAAGTTGGAAGGGAGTTCCACAAGCAAGAAGTGTGAGGTAGGAAACTGTTAGCATATGGAGTTATTTCAAATTTCCAGTTTAATTTAACAATCAAAGTTAGAAAGTTAAAAAATAAAATATAAAAAAAACAACATAAAGACATTAGTAAAAACTTCTAAAATAAAAATGATCTCAAATTATTTTTTATTTTTATAAACTTATAACTTCACATAAATAAACACTGAAATATTAGCCTATAAATAATCGTACTTTCTTGTTAAAGAATCAAGCAACAAGTGTGTCTGTTAGCGTTATATTTAGATATTCTTAAATTATCTGAAGGGCAAGAATCTGACCCTCCCCCCTGTGGAGGAAAAAAAAAAAAAAAAAAGGAAAGAGAATGCTATATCCAAATATTTTCTAAGTCTTATCTGTATGTCTGTATTAAAGAGAGAAAAAGAAAATGAGACAAAAGAGTGTTGGTAGTCCCTTCACACCCAAGCCACCTCCCAGGTGGGTCAGGGGCAAGAAGAGACCAGACTCCATGTTTTCATTGCCAACTCTCAGGGCTGTCAATTACTGCTTGAAAAGTGAAAACAGCAGAATGGAACAAATTCCATGGATTCCAAACACCTCCACCCCTAAGCAAAGGCAGAGAAGGCGGAAGAGAGAGAGGGAGAGGAGGAGAGAAAAGAAATCAAAACCATTTCAAGAGACAGAGGAAGGAAGAGAAAAACAGAGGTAAAACAAGATGCTTTTAAAAAAAAAAAAAAAAAAAAAAAAAGAGAATAAACAAACTAACCCTCCCCATCCTTTGCCTTTAAGAGGAAGGCAGGAGAAAATAAATAAATAAAAGCTTTATCATTCCACTGGAAGCTTACTGACACTGTAGTCAAAAGAGAGAACAGTTTTTTCTTCAAGGGTTGAGTGGGAAGGGGGGGTATGAGGAGGAAGAGGGAGGGAGGGATGGTGTGAAAAAGTAAACACTGGTTGACAGTTGAAAAGAAAAACTAACAAGATAATTTAAAAAAATGAAAATCATCTTTCTTGAGATGCTTCATATATATATATATATATATATATATATATGTGTGTGTGTGTTTGTAAGAAAATGATGATGATGATGGACTCTCCTGACCCTTTGCCTTTGACATATGAGGGTTCCTCAGCTCAGTTGTTAAAACTGAACAACCAGACTATGAACAACCAGCAAATTGATTGGTTTTGCTTTATACAGCTTATCAACCCTTTGTGGGTTATTTAAAGACAAAACATTTTAGATTGAACAAGGTTGTTTAAGGTATCCAGGTCTTCCCAAATGGTCCCCCCCCCAACTATTAACTAAGCTTAACATGGCTTAACTTCAGTGATTGAATGAGAACCAGTGTTTTCAGTATGAACAGACCATATGCAACTGGAGTGGTGATGGCCTGTGCAGAACCAACCACACTTTTTAGAAGAACTGAATACAGTGAACTGGTGCTCATCGTGTGCCACAATGTCTCAAAATGTTCCTCCTCAGAATTAAATTCAGTGTTAGCTTTCTCCTAGACTGGTTGCCAACCAAAGCTAAAGAGATCAGTCTATCTTACTATTTAGTCCATAGCTGGGGCAAGATGAAGAGATAGAATAATTACCAAGAGAATTTGTGTATACATTGATTGGAATTGAACTTGGCTGTATGAGTTCTCATTCCAAGTCGGGAGAGGGGGGAGGAGAGAGAGAGGGGGTGGGAATATACAACCCACATAGTTCAATTTCTGTTCTTGCTTCATTTTGATGTCCCCAGTATGTAGCTCACAACATTGGCTACCTCTTTTGCTCGTGACTATGCATTCTACTATTCTATCACTCTTATTGTAATATAGGAATAAAATGTCACTGCTAACACTTGAGTTTGAAGTAGATCACATGACCATAGAGGAAATGCAAATATGACAATTAGCAAAGCGTCTAATTGATCACACTTTCTATTCTATCCTCTATTACTATAAGGATTGCTATACTATTCTCTATACTAATCACCATATGGATTACTATTCGGTGGCTACTATTCAAGCATTATCATGCAAGTACTATTAGTGCGAGCATTATATGAGGGTGTCTAACACCAGTATTGTTCAACGGCATTTCTATAGTTGTATCTGCGATTACAATATCTCTACTACAACGAGCATTACAAAAGTGACATTGAGTATTCATTGGAATCACAAAATTGTCAATGAGTGTTCATTGACATCACAAAACTTATCTTGTTTGTATCTTTATAACTTCAAAAGTATGATGATTTTTAGTTGAGATTCAGTGACATTTTAAATGGTTTCAATTTTTCTTTTCTTTTAGCACTGTATCTCAACATTTTAATGCATTTATTTTTTAGCATAAATCAGGTGAGATGCAATACATTACCTTAATATTTTCACGTTCGTCTAAGACGATATTTTCTAGTTTCAAATCTCTGTGAACAATGCCATTCTGAAAATAAAAGAAAATTGTATAATATTACAGAGGAAGCACTTCATAGCACTTGTATACAAGACTGACATTTTTTAAGACAATATAAGACTGCCTATTTTTTCTTAAAAAGAAAAAAAAAAAAAAAAAAGAAAAAAAAAAAAAGAAAAAAAAAAGAAAAGAAAAAAAAGAAAAAAAGAAAAGAAAAAAAAGAAAAAAAGAAAAAAAAAGAAAAAAAAAGAAAAAAAAAGAAAAAAAAAGAAAAAAAGAAAAAAAAAAAAAAAAGAAAAGAAAAGAGAAAAAAGAAAAGAGAAAAAGAGAAAAAAAAAAGAAAAAAAAAAGAGAAAAAAAAAGAGAAAGAAAAAGAGAAAGAAAGAAAAGAGAAAGAAAAAAAAGAAAAGAGAAAGAAAAAGAAAAAGAAAAAGAGAAAGAAAAAAAGAGAAAGAAAAAAAGAGAAAGAAAAAGAAAAAAGAGAAAGAGAAAGAAAAAAGAGAAAGAAAAAAGAGAAAGAAAAAAGAGAAAGAAAAAAGAGAAAGAAAAAAGAGAAAGAAAAAAGAGAAAGAAAAAAGAGAAAGAAAAAAGAGAAAGAAAAAAGAGAAAGAAAAAAGAGAAAGAAAAAAGAGAAAGAAAAAAGAAAGAAAAAAAAAAAAGAAAAAAGAAAAGAAAAAGAGAAAGAAAAAAGAGAAAGAAAAAGAGAAAGAAAAAAAAGAAAGAAAAAGAGAAAAGAAAAAAAAGAAAGAAAAAAAAAGAAAGAAAAAGAGAAAAGAAAAAAAAGAAAGAAAAAGAGAAAAGAAAAAAAAGAAAGAAAAAAAAGAAAAAGAAAAGAAAAGAGAAAGAAAAAGAGAAAGAAAAAGAGAAAGAAAAAAGAGAAAGAAAAAGAGAAAGAAAAAAAGAGAAAGAAAAAGAAAAGAAAAAGAGAAAGAAAAAAGAGAAAGAAAAAAGAAAGAAAAAAGAAAAGAAAAAGAAAAGAGAAAAAAAGAGAAAGAAAAGAAAAGAAAAAGAAAAGAAAAAAAAGAGAAAGAAAAAGAGAAAAAGAAAAAGAAAAAAAAAAGAAAAAAAAAAAAAGAAAAAGAAAAAAGAAAAAAAGAAAAGAAAAAAAAAAAAGAGAAAGAAATAAGAAAAAGAGAAAGAAATAAGAAAAAAGAGAAAGAAAAAAGAAAAAAGAGAAAGAAATAAGAAAAAAGAGAAAGAAATAAGAAAAAAAAAAAAAGAAAGAAATAAGAAAAAAGAAAGAAATAAGAAAAAAGAAAGAAATAAGAAAAAAGAAAGAAATAAGAAAAAAGAAAGAAATAAGAAAAAAGAAAGAAATAAGAAAAAAAAAAGAAAAAAGAAAAAAAAAAGAAAAAAGAAAAAAGAAATAAGAAAAAAGAAAAAAAAGAAAAAGAAAAAAAAAGAAAAAATAAGAAAAAAGAAAGAAAAAGAAAAAAGAAAAAAAAAAAAAAAAAAAAAAAAAAAAAAAAAAAAAAAAAAAAAAAAAAAAAAAAAAAAAAAGAAAAAAAAAAGAAAAAAAGAAAAAAAAAAAAAAAAAAAAAAAAAAAAAAGAAAAAAAAAAAGAAAAAAAAGAAAGAAAAAAGGAAAAAAAAAAGAAAGAAAAAAGGAAAAAAAAAAAGAAAGAAAAAAGAAAAAAAAAAGAAAGAAAAAAGAAAAAAAAAAAAAAAGAAAGAAAAAAGAAAAAAAAAAGGTGAGAGCCAATCACTACAAATAATAACCAAACATTCTTAATTGCAAAACTGAGAAACACAATTTTTTTCCATTTTCTGTGCAATGTAATCACGGCTCAATTGTTACATATTTAACACAAATTTCCAGTTTTATTTATTTTTAGTACCATCACCTTTTTATACACTGACTTATCTGTTGTTTCTGGGGTCTACTCAACTGAGGGTATATTAGGTACACCCAAAATGCAGTAATTATATAAAAACAAGGTGATAAGTTTTTCACTGTATAAAATTAAATTTCTGTTTAGCTTTCAAAAACAAAAATTAAATCCATTTTAAATCATTATTTAACCTGGGTATGAAGGAAAGTATTAAACAAGGTTTAATAAGCTACAGGGTGAGAATAAAAGTTTAATTTCCTTTCTGAAATAAAAAAAAATATTTTTCAGACTCAAGAAATATCAGAAAAGTCAAAGTATAAAAAGGAGAGGGTGCAATAAAAAAAAAAAAAAAAAAAAAAAATGGAAATTTGTTTTAAATACAGTGTAACCCGGATATTAGAGAAACCCGGATATAAGAGTGATTTTCTCTGGTCCCAAATTAGAGCCCGTGTTAATGTATACAAAATAGACCAAACCCGGATATAAGAGACTTCTTCTCTGGTCCCGACAACTCTCTTATATCCGGGTTACACTGTATATAACAATTGAGCCATGACCACACTGCATGGAAGAAGGAAACGTGGATATCTCAGTTTTGCAATTAAGATTTCACAACTGAAATTGGCTTAAAATCTTAAAACGATTAGTGCCTCTTATCCTCATTCGGGTCTCCACACATGCGGCTGTGTGTTTATTAAATATTTTAGGCCTGCTTCTGAGTTGTGATAGGTTGATGTTCAAATCCTCACTCCACTCAAAAGACTGGCATTTCTCTTTATTGGACATTAAGTAAAAAAATAAATAAAAGAAATTACCATTTTTATTTAGAAGCAGAGACTGAACTTCAAAGCCTTACAGTTGACAGTCTAATGCTCTATCACTGACCAAAATCCACAATTGCATAAAAGTGTTACACTAAAGAATAAGTGCAAAATCTGACCTTTGACCTAATGTATTCAGAATATTTTTAAATGAGGCACAAAATAGACGACCTTTAACCAGTAGTGATTGAGGTTGGGTGAGGAAAAGAGGTCTTAATTATCTTGTCTCCTGAAAGGGTCAGGCAAAGAGTGTTAGGAGGGGGCAAGGAGAGAAAAGATGGGGGTGCACAACAAGTAAAATAGGAGGAGGAGGAGCTGAATAATCAATGTGCCCAGTTTTATATTTTTGACCATTTCAGAAAAAAAAAAAAAAAAATTAAAACAATAACATTGGTAATAGAAATTCCTTAAAATATTTAGTATGTTTTTTTTTATTTATTTGGGGAGGGGGGGCACTAATCATTGCTTTAGAAATGACTTTCCATATTTAGAAAGTCATTTTTTTTAATTATAAAGCCTTTATTTGCCAAAAGTGAGCAATTACAATCAAAGAACTAATCAGTTCAAAACCTAACTCTTGAGTAATCTTGGACAACCAAGTTCAAATTCCAGTCAGATCCATTACATTCATTTACATGCTAATACCCTTGGGAAAGGTATTAAGCCTCTTCTCCTCCCAGCTATGGGTAAATAGCAGGACAAACCAGGTTCTATAGCCTTGGATGGTAACTGGTCTACTGCAGAAAGAAATGCCAACCTACTATGGGGAAAAAAAATCTGCCTCAGTTATGTATCGAAAGATACATGACCATCTAAGTGTGTATCACGCATGGTACATAACTGACCGAATCTTTGTATAATCAATTTCATAAATGACAAAGATTACAAAAATTAATAAGTATTCCATCATTTAAATTAGAAAAACAAACTAATGTTTGATATTAAGAAATTGGCTGTGGAAGTTGGGGTGGGTGTGTTAAATGTCAACAAGACATAAGTCGAAGCTTGTTATTCTGATGTTTCTATGAATGAAGAACTTCAACATTGTGTGCTAATTTCAAATTTGATTTCCAGATTTTGATTTAGTTGAATGTTGTGGCCTTGCTAGGGCCAGAAATAAAGACAAAAAGAGAGGAATTGAGTTAAACAAATATATTAACAGAAACAGTAATACGAAGCATATACAAACGAGAGCAAGAATGTTTGGTCTGACTGTCAGAGTTGACTGCTGGAAACTTCCCTCTCCGAAAGGCAGTACCTGCTCCTATTTATAGCTGGGAGAGTCCATGTGTGCGCGGGTAA